CCTCAACTGACATGAGGCTTCTGAAAGAGTAACTGCCAACTTTTACCCCAAATCTCACCCATGTGTCCCTGCCCCCATGCCAGTGACTGGGCACAGAACTAAACAGCCTGTCAGAAGCAGAAGTCAAGTTCACCTCTTCAGCTACCCGGGAGGCTGAGGCAGGATTGCTTGAGCGCAGGAGGTCGAGCTGCAGTGAGCCGTGATGGTTCCACTGTACTCTAACCTAGGCGACAGAGTGAGGCTCCAAAACCCCTCCCCCACCAAAAAAAGAAGGGCTCTTGATTCCAGACTGTGGACTCAAAAGTAAAACTTACAAACTACTGCAAAAATTAATAAGTGAGCCAGGCGCAGTGGCTCATGCCTGGAATCTCAGCCCTTTGGGAGACAGAGGCAAAAGGACTGCCTGAGCCCAAGGGTTTGGGACCAGCCTGGACAAAATGGAGAGACCCTGTCTCTACAATAAATCAAAAAATTAGCCGAGTGTTATGGTATGTGTCTGTAGTTCCAGCTACTTGGAATGCTGAGGTGGAAGGATCATCTGAGCCCAGCAGGTAGAGGATGCAGTAGCTGTGATGGTGCCACTGTGCTCCAGCCTGGGTGTCAGACTGAGACTCTGACTCATTAAAAAATAATAATAATAAATGAATCACAAGTCACCACATATCAGAGACCTTCAAGGTCAATTGTGAGTGGCTTAAATAACAAATGCCAAAGTGGTCACACTGCCTATGTGGTCTGCAGTGAGCAGAGTGGCACCACCCAGAGGCTCAGCAGCAGTGCAAGGTTTGGGCCCTGCCCCAGAGCTGCTGAATGCACTGGCATTTTCACCAGATCCTGGATGATTTGCACACACATTAAAGTTTGAGAAGCTCTGTTCTACAGCAGCTATGTTCAACCTGGGCTGCACATTAGAATTACCTGTACATCTTTTCTTTTTTTTTTTTTTGAGTTGGAGTCTCACTCTGTCACCCAGGCTGGAGGGCGGTGGCATACCTCTTGGCCACTGCAGCCTCAACCTGCTGGGCTCTGGCGATCCTTCTGCCTCAGCCTTCCAAGTAGCCGGAACTACAGGCATGCACTACCATGCCCAGCTAGGTTTTGATTTATTGTAGAGATGAGGTCTCGCCAAGTTGCCCGGACTGATCGCGAACCCGCAGGCTCAGACAATCCACTCGCCTCGGCCTCTCAGAGTGCTGGGATTACAGATTGAGCCACCGAGCCCAGCCTGGATATCTTTTTAAAAGCCATCTTCTCTGATAATTCTGATTTAACTGGTCTGGGGTGGGGACTGGTCTGGGGTGGGGGCTGAGCATTGCTATTTTTAAAAGCTCCCCCTGATTCTAACACATAGCCAGGATTGAGAGCCAGTGGGAAAATGTCAGTTCAGCAGGTTCTGTCACTGCCAGCACGATTGTGGGTCATTTACCAGCCTCTGGGCCTTCCTCTCCTGTGAAGTAGAAATAAAAGTGACTGTTTCAGCCGGGCTCGGTGGCTCAGCCTGTAATCCCGCGCCTTTGGGAGGCTGAGGTGAGTGGATTGCCTGAGCCCTCAGGTTCGAAACCCGCCTGGGCAGCAAGACCTCATCTCTACAATAAATCAAAAAAATCAGCCGAGCATGGTATCGCATGCCTGTAATTCCGGCTACTTTGGAAGGCTGAGGCGGAAGGATCGCCGGAGCCCAGCAGGTCGAGGCTGTGGTGGCCAGAAGCGGCCACTGCACTCCAGTCTGGGCAACAGAGTGAGATTCCAACTCAAAAAAAAAAAGTGACTGTTTCCTGAAGGGCAAGGTATTAGAAAATGGAGGATCTCTAATGCCCAGTGGGAGCTGGGAGAAGGGATGAGATCTGGTCACAGACTACTCCTCCAGGGCAATGATTCCATTCATTCTTCTCCAACCCCGTTAGTCCCGGCCGGTTCTTGGTCCAGGAAAGCCTGAGGTTGGAGAAGACTCAGCCTTGCACTCAGGCCTCCCCAATCCTCCGGTTCAAGAAAAGGCACATGAAGTTCAGTGTGAACAGGGGCTCATCTGTGCAGTTTTCCGTCACAGTTTAACATTCTAGTCTTGTTTTAAAAATGTGAGTCTCATGACTCAGGAATGTCAGACTCGGCAGCTTCCTGGTCTATAGAAAAGGTGTCTCACTTCAGGGGATTACTGCTGGACAATGAGCATCTGTCTCACATAAACCACTTTTTTTAAGCAGTAAAGTTTTGGGAACTTTTCTTCCCAAAAGGAATCTCAGCAGAGCTCCTGCCAAACTGGGCCACTGTGTGGGAGGGGAAGCAGCCTGGTGGCCTCACCAGGGGCAGAACTGCTCTGCCAGCCTAGGACTTGGCTCCCTCTCCTGTCCCCACTCCTGGATGCTGTCAATTAATGCCAATCATTGAAGGTGAGGGTTGCCTAGATTAGAAGTGACCCAAGAATCAGGCTTCAGGACCTCTGATCTACACCCATGTTTTCTAAAGCTTGCCCAGTCATAGGACAGGACTGGAATTCTTAATCCTGCTCATGCTGTTTCCCAGGCCTCACCTCTGACCTATGGGTAAAGGTTTCCAGGAGACTCTGGAACTTGTATTTTAGGCAAATGCCCCCACATACAGCTTCTACTTACTACTGACTTAATCTGTGCCAGGCACTGTATTAAGTACTCCCAATTAACTTATTTTCTCCTTACAAGAAACTAAGTATTAAGGAACTTGCTCAGGATCACAGTTAACAAAGGATGAAGCCAGAATTCTACCCTGGGTATCATGACTGCTAGAAGGCAGAGGTTTTTTGGTGAACATCAGGAAGGCTATAAAGCTAAGAACCTGGGTGGGGACCAGGAGCGGAGGCTCACGCCTGTAATCCCAGCACTCTGGGAGGCAGAGATGAGAGGGCTACCTGAGCCCAGGGGTTCAAGTCCAGCCTGGGCAACTCAGCAAGACCCTGTCTCTCTACAATAAATCAAAAAATTAGCCAGATGCAGTAGCTCACGCCTATAATCCCAGCACTTTGGGTGAGGTGAGAGGACTGCCTGAGCCCACAGGTTCGCAACCAGCCTCGGCAACTTGGCGAGACCTTATCTCAAAATAAATTTTAAAAATTAACTGGGTGTTGTGGCGTGTGCCTGCAGTTCTAGCCACTTGGAAGGCTGAGGTGGAAGGATCACCAGAGCACAGTAGGTTGAGGCTGTGGTGGCCCTGAGTGTCCCACTGTATTCCAGCCTGGGCAACAGAGTGAGACTCCAACTAATTAAAAAAAAAAAAAAAAAAAATTAGCCGGGTGTGGTAGTATGCGCCTGTGGTTCCAGCTACTTGGAAGGCTGAGGTAGAAGGATTGCCTGAGCCCAGCAGGTCTTGGTTGCAGTAGCTGTGAGCGGGCCACTGCACTCTAGCCTGGACGACAGAGTGAGAGTCTGACTCAAAAAAAAAAAAAAAAACAAACCTGGGTGGGGCTTGGTACTGCCCAAGAGATAGCACCTATGGCAGTTCAAAGGTGAGCATTTTCTGTAATCTGGGGCAGTATCCAGCCTTTGCTCCTCAGAACCTGGGAGAGCAGCACCCAATAAGGAAGCTGAGCACCCAGTTACCTTGGAGCCCTCAGGCTGTCTCTGAGCCATACAGTCAAGGTGGCTCATGGCTACAGAGAGCTGTCCTGTCCAAACAGCTCCACCCCAGGGCCAGCCTAGTTTAAACAGCCCTACCCCAGGGCCAGCCTGGTGCTCTGCGTGTCAAAGGCAGAAATAGGAGTTTCCAGGAGGGCCACCTGGCACCCCACATCCCCACGTGACAGCCAACATGATAACCCAGGGGTCCATCCAGGCAGAGAGCAGAGAACACAGGGGACAGGTGCCTTAGCTACCATCCCTCCCCACCCCAAGTGTTTCACTCCAGATGGACAGCTTTAAGATTCCCAGAAAATCAGCCGGGCGTGGTAGTGCATGCCTGTAATTCCGGCTACTTGGAAGGCTGAGGCGGAAGGATCGCCGGAGCCCAGCAGGTCGAGGCTGTGGTGGCCGGGAGCAGCCACTGCACTCCAGTCTGGGCGACAGAATGAGACTCCAATTCAAAAAAAAAAAAAAAAGATGATTCCCAGAATCACAGGACCAACTGAACTTCCTGTTTTTCACTTTCCCCCCTCTCAAAACGAAAGAAGAAAAACTTGGCTCACCAAACTCTGTGCCTTCTGGAGACAAAGCCTACCTTAAGATCAATCTGCTAGTGACTTCTCAGATGCGTGTCAAAGCCCACAATTGGCATAGCCCTGTGTGGGGCAGTAGGAAAGCCTCAACATGTGGCAGAGTTGAAGGGTCTCAATGGAGACAAGTCACATTCTAGGAGCTCAAAGGGACAGGCCAGAGCCCAGGCCACCAGGGTGAGGGGGCAGACCCAACACAGACCAGGGATGGTGGCTTACACCTGTAGTCCCAACTACTTGGGAGGCTGAGGCAGGAGGACTGCCTGAGTCCAGGATGTCGAGGCTGTGGTGAGCCATGATTGTGTGATGGCTGGTGGACAAAGTGAGACTCAGATTCAGGAAAAAAAAAAAAAAAGGAACCACACAGGGCGTGGTGGCTCCTGCCTGTAATCCTAGCACTTTGGGAGGCTGAGGCAAAAGGATTACTTGAGCCCAGGAGTTTGAGGCCAACTGCAACATAGATCTGTCTCTACCAAAAAAATCCTGAAACCAGCCTAGCTCCACGATGGGATCTGAATGGATCCCACAAGCTCCCCCATCTTATTTCCAATACGGGACCCTAAAATCAGAGAAAGGCCTGATTTCTGGAGGGGGGTAGGGACAGTGTGGGTGAGTTGATCTCCCTTTGCTTCAAAACCCGGAAAGCTCCAATAAGGAAACAAATCTCTGAAGGCAAAGGCTCCACCCACCTTCTCTCCCCTAGATTCAGAAGTCTTCCCAGCCTCAGCAGAAGGACCTAGAAAGCAGGACAGGGAAGAGGGCCTTGCGGGGAACAAAGACTCACCACTGATTTAAGGTTTGGGGGCCAGTATGACATACTCACATCCAGAAATGCAGCTAGCTCTTCTTAGCTCCAACAGCCTCAACTAGGGAACTCTCACCCAGCCCAGGGGATCACTTCCCGGCAGGGCAGGGCAGGGCAGGGAGGGGCTGGCCTGGGGGTGGGGCTTAGATAGTTAAAGGGCCCGTGCAGCTGGCTCTCATTTTCTCCTCTGGCTGCTTCCGCTGCAGCTCAAAGCAGGAAGCTCACTGCATTCAGGAGTTTCTGCCTCAGAGCCAGCTGGCTGTGCTGAAATGAGACTGGGAGGGATCAGAGGGCCTGAGACAGGGGGACAGGTGCTGACTGAGTTCGCCTTGGCTCCATCTGGCTTTCATTTTCCAATCTGGGTGAATACAATTCTGCCTCTCCTCTCAAGTGTGGCCAACTGTTTAGGCTTCAGCTGCAGCCCCTCCTCTTAAGAGATGATGACTCTGCACCTTTTATTTTAGGTTCAGAAAATTCAGTCCAGGTCTCTGAATAGGTCAACAGAAAACAAACACACATACATGTGCTCCCTCTTTTCGGCAAGTTTCTGTGTTGGGAGCTCGGAGTGTCTGTCTTTTCCCAAGTTTCCCAGTATTCTGGGTTAGGAAAGAAAGGCCTGGCCCCAACAGGTACACATGCTGCACCCTAGTGGGAATAGCAGCAGCAGTTAGTACTTCCGCTGCCGGGGGAAGAGACTGCTCCCTGCGGACCGGAGTGGAGGGCTGGTGGGGTTGGGGTCCTCTGAGTCCAGGCTGAAGAGGTCCCTCCCGGTACGAAGGATCTGCTCCTCCAGCTTCTTGTGTCGCTTCATATCTGAGAGGACCTTGTCCAGGCGGGCCTCCCGTTTCTGGCTCCGGGCTGAGCTTCCTGGAGAAATGCAAGGTAAGGAACATGGAAGAGATTGAGGCAGTGCGCACCAGGCCTACCTGGATCTTACCATCACTTGAGGAGCTTGTTAACATACAGCTTTCCAAGCCTTCATCATGGAGGTTCTGGGGTTTGGGGTTGGGCCACAGATAGGGTAAGCAGCAAAGGCCTTGAATTATGGGAAGGTACCAGTAACATGAAGACCAGGGAAGGGCGTATCAGGCAAGGAGAAGAGCAAGTGCAAAGGCCCCAAGGCAGGAACAGAGACGTCTGCTCAAAGAAGAGTGTAGAGAGCTCGAGGTGGGGAAGAACAGCTTGGATACTCCCTTGACATGCTCTTCCCCCCAAAGATGCAATTCTTTGGTGGATTTTAAGTAGAAAAGCAACATGACTTTTTTTTTTTTTTTTGAGTTATCTCAGACTGGAGAGTGCAGTGGCACGCTCTCAGCCACCGCAGCCTTGACCTGCTGGGCTCCGGTAATCCTTCTGCCTCAGTCTTCCAAGTAGCAGAACTACAGGCATGTGTTACCACACCCAGTTGATTTTTTGATTTATTGTTGAGGTGAGGTCTCGTCAAGTTGCCCAGGTGGGTCTCGAACCCGCGGGCTCAGGCAATCCACTCACCTCAGCCTCTCAAAACAATGGATTACAGGCTGAGTCACTGAGCCCGGTTATGACTTATGTTTTTTTTTTTTTTTTTTGAGTTGGGAGTCTCACTCTGTCGCCCAGACTGGAGTACAGTGGCCGCTCCCGGCCACCACAGCCTCGCCTGCTGGGCTCCTGCGATCCTTCCGCCTCAACCTTCCGAGTAGCTGGAACCACAGGCACGTGCTACCACACCCAGCTAATTTTTTGATTTATTGTAGAGTTGAGGTCTCGCTGCCCAGGTGGGTCTCGAACCCGCGGGCTCAGGCAATCCACTCACCTCAGCCTCCCAAAGGTGCGGGATTACAGGTGAGCCACCGAGCCCGGCTATGACTTATGTTTTACAAGGATCATTCTGATTGCTGAGCCTGGAAGAAGGGAGACCAGTTAAGAGTCACTGCAACTATCAAGGCAATAAAGGTGGCTTGAACAGGGACATGGTGTTAAAAGTGGTAAGCAGATGTACTTGGAAATGTACATCCTGGAAAAGTCCCGCAGAACTAGTGGGACTTTCTACTGGTATATGTTCAGGTAGAGAAAGAAAATCCAAGAATGGCTCCGAAGGCATTTTTTTTTTTTTGAGTCAACTTCTTGCTCTCTCACCCAGGCTGAAGTGCAATGGCATAATCATGGCTCATTGCAACCTCCAACTCCTGGGCTCAGGCAATCTTTTTGCCTCAGCTTCTCACGTAGCTCGGAATACAGGCATGTGCCACCATGCCTGGCTAATTTTTTAATTTTTTTTTTTTTTAGAGATAAGGTCTTGCTATGTTACCTAGGCTGGTCTTGAACTCCTGGGCTCAAGCAATCCTTCCATCTCAGCCTCCCAAAGTGTTGGGATTACTGGCATGAGCGGCCACAACTGTCCACACCAGAGATAAATTCTTTTTTTTTTTTTTGAGTTGGAGTCTCACTCTGTCGCCCAGACTGGAGTGCAATGGCACACTCACAGCTACCACCGCCTCAGCCCGCTGGGCTCAGGCAATCCTTCCATCTCAGCCTTCCAAGTAGCTGGAACCATAGGCATGCGCTACCACACCTAGTTAATGTTTAATTTATTGTAAAGATGAGGTCTCGCCTAGTTGCCCAGGCTGGTCTGAGACCTGTGGGCTCAGGCAATCCTCTCGCCTATGCCTCCCAAAGTGCTGGGATTACAGGTGTGAGCCACCAGGCCCGGCCTCCAAAGGCAAATTCTAAGGAGGTATGTGGAGTGGGAAATTGGGTTATTAGGATTAGGGGATGTACACAGTAGTAGAGGAACATGGATTTAGATAATGAATGACTAGGAGGACTTAGACTTCTGGGGAGAAGATAAAAGGAATGGGAAACATGATACAATTATTTGTGATGGACTTTTTTTTTTTTTGAGTTGGAGTCTCACTGTCACCCAGACTGGAGTGCAGTGGCCGCTCCCGGCCACCGCAGCCTCGATCTGCTGGGCTCCGGCGATCATTCCGCCTCAGCCTTCCAAGTAGCTGGAATTACAGGCATGCGCTACCACACCCGGCTGATTTTTTTGATTTATTGTAGAGATGAGGTCTTGCCAAGTTGCCCAGGGGGGTGTCGAACCCGCGGGCTCAGGCAATCCACTCACCTCAGCCTCCCAAAGGCGCGGGATTACAGGCTGAGCCACTGAGCCCGGCTTCTGATGGACTTTTAAAGGAAGACAGGGTATTAACCTAAGCCAGAAAGATAGTGCCACCAGGTGATGCTTTATCCAGTAGCTAGAAGTTGTGTGGCAATTGAGTCACCCAGCAAAGGCCTTTTAAGGGAGCCACTGTTTGGGTAACTGGGAGCAAAGGCCCTTCACCTTCCCCCAACTCTTCCCTCTTGTTTGTACCTGGGGTGCGTCTCCGATCAATCAGGGCGTCCTTTGGTGTCATTGGTTCATCATCAAAGTCAAATTCCGTGGGCATGTGTGGTCTGGGACAGGGAGACAGAGAATGAGGGGTGAGGGTGGCCCTCCCAAACACCACACACGTGCTTCTTCTCCCCAGCCTGCCGGCTCTCCCTCTCCTGCTCTCTTCCCTCCCTCCACTTTCCATGCTCTTGCGTTCCACGTTTTACTCCTCCCAATTTGCTCCTGCCATCAGGGGACAAGGTGCAAGGGTGCGCCCTCACTTTTCCTCTTCCTCTTCTTTGGCCTCCTGCTCCTCATCGGATTTCTCCTCTTCACTCTGGGCCTCGGGTGTGGGAGGCCGGCGGGGCAGGATCTCAGCTTGAAGCTCCAGGGTACCGTGGGCCGCCAGCAGTTCATAGAGCCGCTGGATTTCGGAGGGCGGGGGCATCCAGGACTGCCCATCCGCGGGCAGCTCCACCTCCTCATCGCTGCAGGGCACGCACCAGTCCTCGGATTCTCCCTCGGCTCGTTCTTCCCCCCCAGCGCTGGGTACTTCTCCCTGCGCCTCCTCGCTCCCGGACCCCTCACGCTCGGTCTCCTCCCGGCCTCCTTCCCCCTCTTCCTCGGCCTTACTGGCCGAGGCAGAGGAGCCTCCGGTATCCACCACTGCCAGAGCCTGGAGGCCGGAGGTCACATCCCCTTCTTCAGACAGAGGCGCCGCCGAGGTGGCCGCTGTATCTCCATGACCCCGGGAAAGAGACATAGACCACTACGGCAGGGACCCTGCGATGATAGATGCTCAAGTACTAAGCCGGGCTTCCCTCCCCAGCCCCAGGGATCGGGTTCCCCGAGGGTTTGGGAAAGTCTCTCCAACCAATCAGGCTCCACCGGCTGTCTCCGCGGCCAGCCCGCCTGTCCCCAGGAGGGGGCGCCAGTCCCCTCTAAGGGCCCCGCCCCGCCCCGCCCCAAGGGTCGAGATCCGGCACTCCGATGTTCCCGGGGGCCCGCAGAAACCACTTTCCCAGCAGCAGAGGGGCGGGTCCACTCTTCTCGGCTTCACGCCGCCCCTCTCCACACCTGGACACGGCACCCTCTTCCCAGACCTCGTAGCTCTGGGCCGCGTCGACTCAGCCGCCGTACGCACCTGGACTAAGACCCGCCTCCCGGGCTGCGCAAGGGCACAGTACGCAGGCGCGCAAAAATGGCGCGGGAGGCCCCGCTCTAGTCAAAGTTACTTGGAAGAGGAAAGCTAGGGAAAGCTTGCACATGCGCAGGTAGGCGCTTGGGCAGAACAGACTTTAGCCCACAGTAAAGATGGCCACCGGGGCGGCGCATGCGTATACCACCCAGTAGGTTCTACCGTGAGGTAGGCAGTACCGCTGGCCCGGCGGGACGAACGCAGGGACCCACTGAGACTGGAGGCGAGTCTCATGCAGTCTCCGTTTATTGGTGTTTCAGACTCATGCAGCATCCGGCATACAAAAAGGGAAAAATCAGTGTGATACAGCCTTTTTTTTTTTTTTTTTGAAGAATTTTAGTTTTTTCCCCAGACTTTTTAGAAAAAAAAAAAAAAGCCGCCAACTCCGAACCATGTTGTAGCTCGTCCCCGCCTCCTCAGCAGGCTGTCGCGTGCAACAAACCTCCCTTGTCAGCTTAGAAAATAATTATAGAGTTCCCTGCCCCTCCCTCGCTCCCCGCAGCTGGGAGCTTTGGTCCTATTTTATTTTTTGATTCTTCCGTTACAAAGCACGTGAATGACTCTAGCCCCGACACCTTCAAGAAAACTCGCAGACTGGGGTTAAAAAGCCCAAGTGGGCGGGTCAACTCAGGCTGACCAGAGGAGTATCAGATGCCGCATCCCTCCCTTCTCCCTTCCCAGTGCTCGCCACCCCTTGCTGGCTCTTTGAACCGCAAGGCGCACCCTGAGGGCGTCCCAGCAGAGAACAGTCAGAGCCCAGGGCTAGGGAGCCCTCTCCCGATGGTGCTCCCAGCCCCCCCAACCTGATCTAAGTGCTGTAGTTTTTGCGGAATAAAAAGTGGCAGGAGGGTGGAGAATAGAATGCTGGGGGAGAGAAGGAGGCAGGAAGGGGAAGGAGGGGTGGGAGATGTGGAGAGGGAAGGGAGATGAAGAAGGGAAGGAAGGAATGGGAAATGGGGAAGATGCCAAGACAATGAGAGTTGGGAGGTGGAGGCCCGGGTTGAGGTCCAGAGAATTTAGGAGGCTGGAAGAAGTGCAGGGAGGCTGGGAGAGATGCAGGGAGGCTGAGCGCACAGAGAGGTTTCCCGAGTGCAGGGATGGGGGGCCAAGAGGCTAGAGAGGATGCAAGCAGAAGTGCAAGGAGGTTGGAAACAGTGCAGGGAGAAAGGAGGCCTACAGTTGGCAGAGGAGCCTGGCAGGATGCAGGAGCAGGAAAGAAGCTGTAAACAAGGCCGCTCAGGCTCCCTTGGTCCCTAGGGATGAGGGCCAGGGCCATCAGTTGGGCTCCCCCCAGGGGAGGGCTGGGCCCAAGGCAGCTCCCAACAGGAAGAAAAGTCTTGGAATGCAGGGCAGAGCCCCTCACTTATACACTGTGAGACAGGAGAGGGAAGGACAGACGGGGAGGAGAGGGGAGGGAGAGACAAGGAGAGACAAAGGAGAGATAAGGAGGACAGACAGGAGAGAGCAGGGGCAGGGGTTAGTAAAGCTGCCCTTGTCAACCCTTCCACTCCTCCCCTGCCTGTCCCAAACCCCACTCACCGCCCAAGTTGATGACGCAGGAGGCGATGATGATGAGGACCCCCCCCACCAGTGCCACGATGCTTAAGAGCTTGGCCACGCGGCCCAGACGCTGGGCCCCATCCACGTCCCCCTGCTGCAGGCTGTTCCGGGACTGGGGTTAGGGTGAGGGGTGGAGGCACCGTGGCCGGGTCAGGAGAAGCCAGGCCAGTGGGGATGAGGTGAAAAAGTCGTCCAGAAGACAGGCCAGCCCCGTGGGCAGTGGATAGGGAGGAGGATTGGAGAGGCAGTGGGAGGAGCACAGGTCAGCAAGCCTGGAGGAAACATGTCTCCGTATCCCTCCCACCCTAAGGGGTAGCACTGTGGTGGCTCGGAGGGTTAGGTCCTAGGGAGAGGCAAGCAAAGGCCCTACAACTGGGGAAGTGGGATGCATGCAGAGAGGGAAAGGAAGACGTGGTTACTCCTGGGGCTCCATCCCAGCACTGGCGGGAAGCTGGGAGCCACAGCAGGCCTGGACCAGGGTCCCATGGGGCTCACCATGACGGCATAAGCGAAGGCCACGATGTTGACAGGCCACATGGGGCAGAAGCAGGACAGGATGGCAAGGATGATGTAGTCCCGAGGTTTCTGGGTGCCTTCACCCCCCTCCACCCCAGGCCCTGCTAGCTGGGAGCTGGGGTGGCGGCTCAGGCTGCCTCGGGGAGATCCTGGATGCCCACTGTGAGCCCTTCCTAGCCGATCTTCCTCAACCAGCTGCTGTAGCACTCGGGGGGGAGCCCCATTGGCTGGGGGGGATTTTGTTGAGGGTGGCGAGTGAGGCTGGGGGGCTGGGCCCTCCTCCCCCTCGCCAGCCTGCAGGGGCACCACTGCTCCATTCTCTTGTTTTTCCCCTGTGCTCTCAGTCAGGACCTCAGGGGTGGGGTCCTCCTGGGTAGGTGGCTCTGGTTGAAGTGCTGGCTTGGGGGTGGGCTGGGAACCTGGCTGGGGGTCTGACTGGGGAGCAGGCTCTGAGGCTGGCTCAGGTGGGGCTGCAGACTCCAGCTTGGACCCCTGGTCTGCAGTGGCCTCTTTGCTCACTTCTGGTTTGGATGCTGGCTCTTCGCATGCTGCTTCGGGGCTGCATTTGGCCTTTGATTCCCCTCCTGGGCTTAAGCTGGGGACTGTGGCCTGGGCTGTTTCTGGGGCCTCAGCTGGGGTCTCTGTGGTTTCCGGAGCCAGCCCAGCCTTGGGCCCTGAGTCCAGAGGTGCCGTAGTGGTGCCTGGGCCTGGCTGTGGGGTCTCTGGCTGGTCTGGGATCCCTGTTAGGACCTGGAGAGGGCCAGTTTCAGCTTCAGAATGGCCAGGCCCTTCTCCCTGGGTCTCGGGACTCTCCTCAACCCTCTTCATCTCAGAGACCTCAGAGCTGCCGCCTCCCCCTGCTGCCATCTTGAAATGGGAGAGGGGAGAGAAGCCCCCGTGGGGAGGATGGATAGCAGAGACAGCAGCAAATCCTGGAAGAGGAGGAGATAAGCTTGGTGTGAGGAGGGCAGAGGGGCTTTCAGCACTGCAGGCCCAAGAAGGCCAAGCTCCTATCTTAGTGCCAGCCTTGTGCTGCCTCTAGGGAGAGGAAGAAAAGTTGGGGTTTCCTTTGCCTTGGGGTGGGACATCCCTGGGGAGAGGAGTGCTCAGTTCCAAGTCTTCTGTTGGAGAGCTCTGGGGAAGATGAACCCTTTTGTAAACAGGACCCTCCCCAGGGTCCACCACCAAGATCCGCACTCTCAGAGTGCAGCAGGTAACTCAGCACCCCCAAATCAACAAGCTATGCAGACACCCAAACATTCCGACAGGCAGACTGGGCAGAGGACCCGACACTCACGCTCCACTCCCTCTGCATCCTCCCCTCCTCCCTAGGCGCCCAGGCGGTGCGGTTTTCCTGCTGCGCGTTAAGGGCGCGGACGCCCCCGCCCCTCTCTGGGGGACCCGGGTAGCTCCTCTGAGCCCCTCCTCAGCCCCTCTCCCAGGGATTCCCTCGCCCTCGGTGGGCTGGCATCGCTTCCTCCCAATGGTGCAGCGCGCCCAGCACCACCAGCCAGCCCGCCAGGCGCCCGCATTCCCGTGCAAGCCCCCAGCGTCGGCCGTCGGTCAGTCCACTCCTACCCGCAGCCTCCGTCCGTCCCAGTCTCACCTCGACGCCGGCCTCTGGACAGCTCCCGCCGCCGCTGCTGCTGTTGCAGCAGCCGCAGCCCGGGAGGGAGCGACTCAGCGAGCGAGCGAGGGGGGGAGGCGGCGGGTCTTCCCTCCTCTCTCCTGGCGTTTGCTCATCCCCTCCTCTCCGGTCCCCTCCCCTACGCTCCACCGCTGCCGCGCACGCCGCCCCCGCCCCTTGCAAGCCTCCGGCCCCTCCCGGCCAGCCCCAGGGAGCCACGCGTTACCCAGGCAACCGGCCTGGGGACCACTGGCGCCCCCTCCCTGCCCCTTCCCACGCGCACCTCCTGGCGGGGCGCCCCCTTCCCAAGTCCCCAGCCCCTCCCGCCAACGGTCACCGGGGGTCCTGGCGGAGACGGGGGTCTACGAGGAGAGACGGGACCGGCGAGACAAGCGGGACCGGGTGGAGGCACCCCTACGAGCAGAAAGAGGGCAAGAAAGATGGGGCAACGCGCAGGGAGGATGCAGGAGGAGCAGGGTGGGGTTTCGAGGTGGGAGCGTGCAGAACGAAGCCTCCCTACCCTCAAGGAAGGAGCGGCAGAAATGGGAACCTGAAGGCTCAAGAAAGGTCCCTGAAAAGGACGGGAGAGGGAATTCCAAGGGACTAGGCAGCAGCCGCACGGACAGCCTGGAACAGCGGGAGAAGGCTAGGGCTGAAGAGCCACTGTAAACACAGGGCAGACCATGCCAGGGATGAGGGGACAAGCGCAGCTTTTATCCTCAGCCTTGCGCTCCCAGTCCTAGAGCTGACTTCCCCAACCTCTCTGCAGTCGTGTCACCCACCATCAGGGCCCCGAGGGTGTGCAGGTGGCTGGCTGCGGTCTGAGCACCCGGCCACGGGTGACGAAGAGCATTCACGTCAGCAGTGTGGGTTTCTAACCCGGACTCTTCAAACCTCCAGTGGCTATTCTAGGCCTGTCCAGATTGGGTATTCCCCAGAGAGCTGGGAGTCCTGGAACTTGCTCTCCACAGCCCCCGGAGCCTTGGCCCCACCCTAAATCTGTGCTGCAGCCACTAGAGCTGCCCCTGGGGAGGGAGGAGCCAGAGCCACAGAGGGCAAACCAAGGCTGGGGCTGACACCAGGCCAGGAAACCTCCTGGGGGCGGGGACAGGGAGCTTGGTGAGGGCAGTTCATTCAACCCAGAGTCAGAGACAGGTTTTTATTTAAAATTTATTTTAATAGGGTCCGCGCAAAAGGAGGGGATGGGGGTGGGGAACATGCAAGGGACACAGGAACACGATGACATGGCCAGGGCCACAGCTTCTGTCGTGGGGAAGAGGGATGAAAAGAAAAGACCAGGGCTGGAGCTGGGGTGGAAGAGGGAAGGGGGAGCCACTGTGACTGCATTCCCCCCACCCCCAGGAAGCACCTCTAGTCCCTGGATCCCCTCCTTTACCCTGGCCCCCTAAGATTCCACCTCTTGTTCTGCCTCTGGCCCTCATGGCTCCTTCTTTGCTCCCCTTGACTTTTTCCCCCCCCGACAGATTCTCAAGTAGGATGTTGAGGGCCTGACCCCAAACAGCCCTACCACCTTATGAAGGTACAATCTTTGCCTTCCCTGCTTCTGCCCTCTCTCAGACTTCATCTCTCTCTCTCTCTGGGACAGAAGCTCTGATCCCCTCCTTCCTCTCCTCCCTCCCCCTGGAAAAAAAAAAGAAAGAAAGAAAGCACCAACTCCCCAGGGAGGGGCAGCAGACAGTAGGGGGAGAGGACTGGGAGAAGAGCAAGAGGACCATTGAGGGAAAAGGCTCACAAATCCCTGGGAGGACAGGGCAGGGGACTTCAGAGAGGAAGGGGGTAAGGGCAGTGGCTACTCCTGTCCTCTGCCACCCCTGCCCACTGTCCAGGGACTTCAACACAACCGAGGGGACAGGTGTGTGTGGGGTCAGGTCTGACAGGGAGAGAGGAGCAGGAGAAACAAATCGTTAAAACCTAGTGAATTCCCCTAAGAAAACATTTCTTCCTCCTTTCCTTCTGGAGGTTTCTTGGTTGGTGGGGAAGTAGTGAGGAGTTGGTGGGAAAAGAAGGGGAGAGGAGACTGTACCGAGGGACTTTACTCCACTCTCCCCTCTCCCCCCCACCAACTTGGAGCTCACCAGGGCTGGGAGGGAAGTGGCTGAGAGCTCACAGGCACCCCCTCAGCCCCCGAGAGGGAGCCCACAGCTGTGGGAGGGGCTGCCACTGCTGCCGCTGCCGC